GCATGGTCCTCTGTGTCCAGAGGTTGGTTCTCAATCTCCTCCTCTAAAATATGGCTGTGGCCTGGGTCAGCAGCTTCTCCTGAGGTTAAGACCACGGCTTCCTGGACTGAGCACTGGAAGGGTTACCAGTAGGGAGAGCTCAGCTTCAGACCCTCATTTTACAAGGGAGAACTTCAAAGAGACTGGATATAAAGGACTAGCAGGAGCCCCTTCTTCTCACACACAGATCCAGTCCTCTCTCTCCACAGCACCATGTCAGAAATCTCCAGGGAATCTCTTACCTTACCCAGAGTTCCAAGACTTTCCAGAAAGACTAGTTAGCTTTCTACTGCTGTGATAAACAGCCATGACCAAATTCCACTTGGAGGATGAAAGGGCTCATTTGGTTTACACTTCCACACGACAGTGCCTCAGAGGGGAAGTCAAGGCAGGAACCTAAAGGCAGGAACTGAAGCAGAGGCCCTGGAGGAGTGTTGCCTATTGGCTTGCTCCCCATGGCTTGCTCAGCCCGTTTTCTTGTACCATCCATGACCACCAGCCCAGAGTTGAGACTGTCCACAATAGGGTGGGCTTTCCCACATTGGTCATCAATCAAGAAAATATACCACAGCCTTTCTTGTCCACGGGTAACCTGAAGGAAGCAGTTCTTCACTTGAGAATCTCTCCTCCCAGATGCATCTAGGTGTGTGTCAAGTTGACAAGAATTCAACCAGCAAACTAGGAATCCTACATTCTACACAGATTCCAAACAGTGACTCTGGGGCCAGTTGAGAACCCAACAGCCCGGAGCCTCAACAGGATGGATGGCTGTGGACACACCATAACACCCGCTCTCAGGCTAGATGAATCGAGGTGCACCCTCCCATACAGTTGGCCCCACACCTGGTGCAGCGGCATCCAGCCCTCTTGCTCTCTTCTTTCTGGACAAAAGGCGCCCAGATGATGTAATGCTCTACTGCATGCCCCATCTGGCAAGAGGCTCTGGCCAAAGAGGGTCAAAGCAGATTCCCCAGAATCAGAAAGAAGGTAAAAAAAAATGGTCTGTTTCTCCATTCCTCAATTTGGAGGTGTTGAAGGACATCCAAAGACAGGGACCCCATTCCATCCCCCCACCACCACCCCCCACAGCGTTTGAGCATCTAGACCTGTGGTTACTCTGGACAGCTTCCTGCCTTCTCCCCCTACCCCAACCTCTGGCTTTTGCTGTAGCACTCCAAACCTCTTGGTCTCATGTACCCCCTCACCCACACACTGACCCCTCACTGCACCTCAACACTGCTCTCTAGAAAAAAACAAATGTGTTAAGCTTACTTCCAGTCTTTTTCTCTGTCCTAGGAAGCCATGTGTGTTGTTCCATGCCAGGAGCAGCCATAAAAGAGGGTCTCCAGAGGACTGAGGAGCATCCTCATGGGACTAGGGGACATCCCCAGTCCAGCTGAAACCTGCAGCCAGGTGGCCCCCCCTCCCCTGCCCCAGGTCTTGGGGATTCCCATCAAGAGAGTCAGCAAAGCAGAAACTCTGATTTGATTGTTTGGGAGCAAGGCCCCATGGCTGTTGGCTGGCATATTTTTTTCAAATCTCCCCAGGTGATTCTAATGTGCAAGCTTAATGTATTACCTTTCCCAAGGGCATCTGCGCTTCAGTAGCTCTGAGATTGGAGGAATGGTAGTGGCATGGTGGTGTACCAAAGCAGCTGTGGTAGAGAAATGCCCAGACCAGGGTCAAAAGAACGGGGTCATACATCCAAAATCATCCCTTGGTCCTCTGGGTCTTGAGGCCACCTGCCCACATTGAGATCCCTACAGTGGATCGGAAAACACTTAGAGACTGTAAGGATCCACAGAGTTGAGGCCTATTTGGACCTAAGAGGAAACACCCATGGCTTACACTGCAGTGTGGGGACCAGCAGACGCCACTGAAGGACCAAGAGGGCATGGACACAGTGTCACTCAGCCATGTGACTCCCTGACAGTTAACCCAGAAGCTGGTTCCTAGCCTAGCTGTAGCATATCTCTTGGACTGTGGGGGGTCCCCCCGTCCCTAGCTGTCATCCCAGAGAACAAAAGGGAGCAGCTGAAACTCTGTTTGCCAAAGTTGAAAAAATTCAGGAAGAAAAATGGAACGAACTGGGTGATTGGACGGAACGAGACGGTGCGGAGCTGTTGGAAGGAAGAGAGATCATCTGGGAGAGAAACCAGGAAAAAGAAAAAAAAGAGGCCAGCCCTGCCAAACACTGGAAGCGCAGGCCGGGGCTGAACTGGGATCCCTGGCTCAAACTGAGGGGGAAGGGAAGGAAGGGTTGGGAAGAAGGAAAGACAGGTGGCAGAGTCAAGAGGAGGATGAACCAAAGAGCCTAGCCCTGCATCCCGGTCCTTCCAACCCGAGACTGCGGAATTTCCCAAACCTGGTAGGCCAAGGCTGAAGGCAGAGTGAGGACGCCATCTAGCGGCAGGGGCCGGAAGAGGGAAGGGGCCATGCCCAGAACTGCGCCTCCTGGGGGGTGGGGCAGACATAAAGGCTGGCCAGTCCTCCTCAGAGTGAAGAAAAGAAAGGTGGGTGGGGAGATGGAAGAAGTGTGAGAAGGATGTGAATGCCCAGCAGGAAGAATAACTGAGCCTAGACAAATAAGAAGTAGCCCCCGAGAGTTAAAGGGATGGCTGGCCCTGCCAGGCAGAGGCTGGGCTTTGGAACCTCCTGCAGACACAGGGAGGGGCCCCAATGGTCTGGAGGGGAAAGGCAAAGAGAGGGAGCCATCTGGTGTCTGGAGGTGGAAGGCAGCGGGTGTCTGGTGTCTGGGAAGTGGGGAGTGGGTGGGATGCACCAGGAAGAGGGCAGAGGACAGCAGCCGCATTTATCCCCCAACCCCCATAGCTAGGCTCATAATGTTGTTTTCAAGACAACAAATATGAACGGTGATTGCTTTTTATCCAAGCATTTCTGAAGCCCAGAGCAGAAAGCAAGCTGCCCGTAGGTACAAGGTAAAAAACAACAGAGTTTACAATGAATCTTTATTTTCTTATAAAGACCCTCCCTGTCTCCAGGAAGACCAGCCCTTACCAGGCTTTCTCTGGAACTACCATCCCTCGTCCCTAGAGACGGAGTGGAGGTGGGCAATAGGCCAGTGCAGAACCAAGTCATTCTCCTTTCCCACAGTCAAGGGGGAGCTGATCACGTCTGGGCCCTCCAAAGTCAGCTGTGCCCACAGGGAACTCTGGCAGCTTAAGGGTTTGTTTCCAAAGCACAGTCACCCACCCCATATGATTCTGAGGAGTTGTTTACAGGTGCAGGCTCCACTCACCAGTCTACACTCAAAGACATCAAGAAAAGAGTGCTGGCCAGCATGCACAGAGAGTGAGAAAAGATTGAAGCAAGATGAGGATCCAAGATGCTCAGGTCTTGTCGGGCCCCACACCTCTCAGAGATATGACAGCCACATGACATGCAGGCCTACCCTCCTGGGTCAAGAACAGAGGCTCCCTTTTGTATCTCTTTTTTCTGGGAGTATGCACACACAGGACACAGGCTGAGAGCCTGGCTCTTCATTTGGCCTGCAGGAGGCCGGGACCACTTCCCACCAGGAATCTGTACTTGTTCTTCACACACCAAAGGATAGGAAACCCAGAGTGGCGGGGTGGGAGAGCTTGGGTCAACCCCCACCCACCCATGCTGCTTGCTGAGACTCACAGTAGACAGTAGCAAGCACCTCTCTCCTTCATCACCACCAACCCCAAAGTAACCAAGTTTCTAAGCAAAAGGAACTGCTGGGAGATCCCATTGTTTGAGGGCTGAGCTTCAGGCTTTTTGGACCTCTCCTCCCACTCCCAGCCCCGCACTGGGTCAGGATCCAGAGAGAGAGGCTGGTCCCACTGGGTAACATGGGAGGACTCAGTCCTCAAGCGGGCGGGTATTCCATTCCACATGAATAGCTCACCCCCATTGCCCATTCTAGAGGAATCATCGCCTGTGAGGAGGATGGGGGAAGGGCCAGAGCAGAAGCCTCTGAGCCATTAAAACAAGGAGTTCCATATTTTATTTCTCTGCTTTAACTAAGACTTTTCTTGACAGTTTTCTTTCTCTGAAAAGAGAGGTGGGGGGCTGGGTACTCAATACTGACCTCTAGACGGCTTGTCCTCTTCTCAGATACCTCTCTACGGTCAGAACACTGTCCCCCTAGGTCCCTAACCCCCTCAGTCTGCAGCCTCTACACCTGGCCAGCTTCTGCCCTTGAAGACTAGATTGCAAAGCTCCAGCGTAAGGCCAGCCGTAGTGAGGAACCTGACTTCCACATTCAACTTACCCCAGCCCTGCACTCTGCTGGGATCGATTGTGGGGGTGGTGCATGTATGCAGCCTTGCCCACTCTCAGCTGCCCCGGGGCACAATGGCCTCCACCCACCAAGCACACACCAGCCTGGCCTCCTCCCATGCCTAGGCTGAGGTGCAGCACCCAGACCCACTGGGCCTCTGCACCCTGCCCCATCCTGCAGTCCACACTGTACCTGCCCCTCTGCTCAGATGCATGCATCTGCAGAGGCTCGCCTATGATGCAGTCATTGAACACAATGGAGGACAGTATTTTCAAGTTTCCCTAAGGCACTTAAAACAACGACACTTGTGATTACCCTCTGCCCAAAGATACTAAATATTCAGGAGACACTCAGGGTGGGCTTTTTTTCACAACCCAGTGACATATAGCCTGTACACTCACGTCTGGGGGTGGGGGTGTAAATAAGGTAAGTAAGTGCGGTCGCTCTGCCCTCAAACAATTGAGAGGATGTTTGATGGTTGAAGCTTGGAGGGGGGGCATCTGGACTGTCCTTTAAAAACTTATGTTGGCTCAAACCAAAGCATCTACCATTCTAGAGGAAGTAAGGGGGAAGCAACCACGCACACAAAGCCGGCAGTGCGGGGTATTATTTCAATAAACAGGCCTCCTCCTCCCGCCCACCTTTACCTTAGTAAAGACCTTTTTTCTTTTTTTTAAACTGGAAGCCTTCAGGTGAAAATAAAGCCACAGCAGCAAGAGGGGGGGCGGAATGTAGTCTTTCTCAGGGTTAACATCAGAAGACAAGCTTGTGCGGCTTGGCCAATCAGATGCGCCCCTGCCAGCTATAATATAGTGCGAAAGGCAGCCTGTCTCACAAGCTCTCCAGCCTTGCTACCATTTAAAATCAGGCTCTTTTTGTCTTTTAATTGCTGTCTCGAGACCCAACTCCGATGTGTTCCGTTACCAGCGACCGGCAGCCTGCCATCGCAGCCCCTGTCTGGGTGGCGATCGGAGACAAGTCCCCTGCAGCAGCGGCAGGCAAGGTTATATAGGAAGAGAAAGAGCCAGGCAGCGCCAGAGGGAACGAACGAGCCGAGCGAGGAAGGGAGAGCCGAGCGCAAGGAGGAGCGCACACGCACACACCCGCGCGTACCCGCTCGCGCACAGACCGCGCGGGGACAGCTCGCAAGTCCTCGGGTTCCGCGGACGAGATGCTGCTGCTAGCGAGATGTCTTCTGGTGGTCCTCGCTTCCTCGCTGCTGGTGTGCCCCGGGCTGGCGTGCGGGCCCGGCAGGGGGTTTGGAAAGAGGCGGCACCCCAAAAAGCTGACCCCTTTAGCCTACAAGCAGTTTATCCCCAACGTAGCCGAGAAGACCCTAGGGGCCAGCGGCAGATACGAAGGGAAGATCACAAGAAACTCCGAGCGATTTAAGGAACTCACCCCCAATTATAACCCCGACATCATATTTAAGGATGAGGAAAACACGGGAGCAGACCGGCTGATGACTCAGGTAGAGACCCATTGCGAGTGGGAAACAGGCTTCTTCCCCTGGGGGGTTGCGTGTGACCAAGCAATCAGCTCTGCTCTGTTTGCTCTTTGGGCAGGTAGGAAGGCTGCTTGGCCCTTTCCTTCCCCACCCACCTGCCCACCTAGCACTCCTCTTCCGGGAGGAGAAAGGAGGTGAAGGGTCCAGCAGGAAGTTTAGGGTTTGGGTGGAGTGGGGGCACCAGAGATGGGGTTCGCTATGTCCCTCATTTAATTAGTCTCCCAGGATGGCCTCCTCTATCTGTCTCTATTCTAGCTTGTAACTTGGAGAGACCTTCACTCTGGGGGTGTCTGCCCTTTCTAAGCGGGGACAGAAAATGGAGGGAGTGGGGATGCCCCTATACACTTCAAGGGGCCTCCAGGTCATTTCAAACATAAAAGCCTGGAGCATTCCAGCTCCTAACTCCTACCTTTCCCTTTTCTGTGTTTTTTTTTTTTCTCCCAAGACCACCCCCACCCTTTACCCCGCCACCACCAAAGAACTCTAACTGGGAAAGCCAGGGGGCAGTTCTGACAAAAGGCAGGCGCTCCAGAGGCGCTCGTCTTGTCCCCACTGTATCACGTAGCCTGACTGCGATCCCATGGTCCCCAATTGTGCGGGTCAGAGGGAATGTATTGATATTTCTTTAAGGATGCTCCTCTGTTCTCCAGAGCCCGCGGTACCTTAGGGGAGGGACTTGGAACTTGCTGGCTTTGCAATCGCTTTAATTTTCAACCTGCTTGCATAAGAATTAGAAGCGAAAAAATATTAGGAGCGGCGAGGGTGGATGGACAGAGGGCAAAGCAAAACACGATCCTCTCTCCCATCCCACCTCCTTTGAGATTTCTGGGCTGCCAATCTCCCAGCAAAATCGAGACTTTCTAAAACTCCATGCACGTATGACTGAAGCTGGAAATGGGTTTCCTTGCAAATATAGGTCAGCATCCTTTTTACTGCCCTATTAAAATATTCAAGTCCTACCTTTAAGGCTAGGTGCGCCAAGCGGCTGGCGGAGCGGCGCTGGCGGGGCGCAAGAGCAGGGGGGCGGGGGCTGGAGCGAGCGAGCGTGGAGCTGCCTGCGACGCATCGCGCGGCTCGCCACCGGGTACCTGCTGGCTGAGGAGCCTAGGAGACTAGTCTTAGGGTGGCGGGCCAGAGCTGGAGCAAAGGGGAGTCTCGGAGGCTGAGGACAGGGCCATTCTTTCCCCATCTCCCTCATCTGCTCCCGACCACCTTAAATCTGGACCGCGAGTGTGGGCGCGCGCGCGCGGGAGCCGGGAAGCTGCGCGAGCCACAGTTAACTCTGCGCGGGCCGCGGGGTGCCGGGCTGGTGCAGCTAGCTGGAGCGAGTTCTCCCGCCACCCCAGGGCGTTTATCCCCTGGTTACCCTGCCCCCCCCGGGGGGTGCGTCTCAGGGTGAGGAGATCCTTGGGAACGCGTGAGAAGGGAGACCATGCAAAGAGGCCTGGCGAGGACACGCAAGGTCCCCCAGTCCGGGTGGGTCTGCGAGGGGGTCCCAGGCCGGCTCCCTTGCCCAGCTAGCCGGGCCTCTGCGTGCTGCAGAGGGGCGAGAGCGCCGAGCCGTGCGGCGCGGCAGACGCCTTTCAGCTCCACTTACTCCTGCGTTATCGATCCCGCGGCTAGGGTTTCAGCGCGCGGGGCTGGGCTCTGGCGGCTGGTCCCTGCCTCTGCACGCGCGGAGCGCAGGGCTCCGAGCGCGCTCCTTCCCTTGGGCGCGCAGGCAGGGGCTGAGCTGGGAGGAGTCGCAAAGCAGGGAGATCCGCGGGCCTGACCTGCACTGCAACCCTTTGGCTGCCTTCTGGGTCCCTCGGGCCTCAGCGCCCTAAACGGAGACCCCCAACTACATCCTTTCCCTCACTCTGGTCCTCCCGGCCCAGGACCCAAGGCCCAGCAAGCCCTACACCGGGCCACTCTCGCCGCGGCCGCCACGGCCGCATGCGCGCGAGCAGCATTTGAACTTCTGACCTTCTGTCAAGTTCCTCCAGACGAACGAAACGAAAACAAATACTTTTTTCCCTTGGGCAGTGGCTATTCTGGTTCCCCACACAAAAAGAAGGGGTAGAGACAGCAAAAGTGGGGGGTGGGGAAGGCCAGGCCAGGATCTTCTCACCCATCCCGCAAAGATCCCCCCAAAATGAGGATGGCTGTAAAGGTGGCAGTCTGGAAGTTCCCCTTGGTACAACCCTCGCCAGCTTCTTATTCCGGGTTGGCTGAGTTAAGAGGGAACGGGAAGGAAGGAGGCGGCGAAACGCCTAGGCTAGAGGTGAAGGAGTGAAGCCTGAGAATCATGGGCTCAGGATTCGAGCGTTCTCCTGGGAACCTGCCATCGGCCAGCCCCTCTTTAACCAACCACCTGATTCGGTGCCCCTCTCTTCAGTCTCGCCTGCCTCCCAGTCTGTCTCTCTAAGGTGACTGAGCCCAAGTCCCTCAACCATGGCAGGATCGTCCCCAGTGGAACTTTCAGAGCAGTTCTGGATCGCAGGAGCTCCTGGTTAATATTAACTCCGGAGAGGGAAGCGCCGACAGACACTCTCCTCCTTGCGCAGGCCAGGACCCAGAGAGTGCCAGGCTGTTGTGCCCGCGGCCAGGGGGCTGGGGTGGGAGGCCGGCCACGAGGGGCCTGATCTGCAGGCTCTGCAGGGTGAAGGGGGGGGACCACCTGAGGAACCTGGCTGAATAGATTTCCTGCGTGCTTAGGGGCTAGCCGGGAAAAGGAGCCCAGGTGTGGGTTTGAAGAGTGGTTTTTTGCTTTCAAGAGTGGGGTCTGTCCCCCCCCCCCAGTTACGGGAAGAATGGAGTGAGATGTGTTTAGAGAGTAGAGCCTCCCTCACAATGTGGGAAGCCCACTTTTGGAGGTGACAGTCCCTGCCTGCTCTGCGCTCATGGACTGCGCCGGTGTGCAGATCCGGGAGGTGGGCTGGAGGCCCAGGAACAACTTGGCCTCCGCAGACACAAAGCCGGGCCCCAGTGACCCTGCCGGGCTTCACGGTGGCTGCACAGAGTCGGGCTTGATTAGCGGCACACGACCCAATGAATTAATAACCGGGCTGAGCTTCCCGGCTTTGCCTGCGACATTCTCTTCCAGCGCGGGAGGGGGAGCACCCTGCATCTGCCTGCAGAGCTGCGCTGAACCTGGTGCTGGGGCGGGCTCTGGGGCACCGGGTGCCAACTCAGGCGACAATTGGCGGCGTTGGCCTGTCCGGGTCAAGGGCCTATCTCAGCCCAGAGTTCTTTGCCTGGGGTCCTCCGTGTCTGCCCTAGTGGCGCAGCTCAGGGTATCCGGTTCGGTAGCCCTCTCCAACCTACCCTAGCTCGCCCCTGCTGCGGGATGGGAAGCTTGTTCAAGCCACAGATCGCTAACTTCCCCCTCCTGAGAGAAGGGAGCCGGGTGGAGTACAGGCTGGAATGAAGGAGGAGATAAGATACCGTGGTGTGCGCCTGCGCGCACTGACTTCGAATCTCAGTTCTAAACTGACCCTGGTTTACTTATTGATTTTCGTGTAAAACGCGTTCAGTCCCTAAGATGACCTCACTCCAACTCTGTCCTTTGGACTTTTCTCCTAAGAAAACCTCTGGCAGGCCCAGAAACCTGCCAGAGCGGACCTGTTGTTACTACACCCTTCCTATTTGTTGTGTGTGTAACTCTACAATCATATTCCTGGGCTTTATTGCTGCCAGATATACATGACTTTTCCTTTTGTCTGTCCCTGAAGGCCTGGGCAACAATCCTTTGCAAGAGTCCTCCTGGCTACAGTTAGAACCTGTATCTATGGACCATTCTCCCGTCCCTGTAACCTGCCCGAAATCCCTCAGGCTGGCGATTAGCCCTACCCTCTGCAGAAGTCAATTTGAAATTACTACTGCCTCCACTGGGGTCCAGTTCTCTGGGTAACGCGCCCTTACCATTTTGTCTCCAGCCACAAACCCCCCAATCAGCATGCCACATAATCAGCAACATAAACTTCCAAGCAGTGAGTTAGTGCCCCCCCACACACACTTGACTCAGCTCCCCCCCCCCACACACACACACACTTTTATTACATCTTTTTCTTAATGTGGGCCAAGAATGCCCCCACTATCCCAAGTTCCACTTTGCCCTGCAAGGGAGGAGGTTGAACGGCCAGAGTTTCACAGTAGACCCCCTCTTGGGCAGGGCTCAGAAGCCTTGGGCCTTTCTGGCTCCCCATCCCCCAACCTTTCCCACCCCACCCCCACCCACTTCTTAAGTTTGCTCTTCAAACTTGCCGGACACCATTCTGTGCAGGGCCAAGAAAACAAGAGGGGAGGAAGAGAACCGGTCAAAGAAAACACGAATACAATCAGGCCCCAGACAAGCCCAGCAGAGAGGAGCTCCTTGGGGGAAAGAATGTGGCTGCCTGGACCAAGAATGTTTGTCCTCTGGCCCTGCCTGGGCTGGACATCAGCATTCACCTGCCTGCTTGTCCTGGGGCTGCTTCTCACCCCTCAGCGATGCTGTGGGTTTCCTCAGGCCTGGCTGCTAGAGGAAAGGCCCGGCCTCCATGGACAATGCAGGGCTGCCAGTCCTTAAAGTACATCAGTTCTGTCCCGCCCAAGAGATGCTCCTGGAACCTCACCCCAGGAGAAACTGCTCCTATCCCTCGGACCACTGTAGCTGCATCTAAGTTCCTGGGTTGAAGACTGGCCCGCAGCTGGGTCCCTGGAGAACCCGCCCCTTCAGCAACTGCCATGCCTCCACCCACATCTTATTCACACAGTCCCCAGGGCCTGGGCCTGTGGTTGGTAGAGAAACCACCGACCAAGGTGTCTGTCACTTAAGGGTTCTCCCTTCTCCCTACAGAGGTGCAAAGACAAGCTAAATGCCTTGGCCATCTCTGTGATGAACCAGTGGCCGGGAGTGAAGCTACGTGTGACTGAGGGCTGGGATGAGGATGGCCATCATTCAGAGGAGTCTCTACACTACGAGGGCCGAGCAGTGGACATCACCACATCTGACCGGGACCGCAGCAAGTACGGCATGCTGGCTCGCCTGGCTGTGGAGGCCGGCTTCGACTGGGTCTACTATGAATCTAAAGCACACATCCACTGCTCTGTGAAAGCGGGTAAGCAAGCCTCCGGACGGCGGCCTCTCTCTTCCTCCAACCCTTCCAACCAGGAGGAGGGGGGGCGCAGGGAAGGGGGAAGGAAAGCCATGAAAAGAGGGGAATGCTCTTGAAAATGAGTAGATTTCAGTTGTGGGGAAATAGCCTATGGCACCCCCACCACCCTACCCCAGCCAGGTACCTCTGCAACCTTTTAGATCACTGGCCAGCATCTCTATATGCCCAGATTCCTAGGTTTCCAGAACTCCCGCTTCAGGTAGTAAAGAACAAGGTGTCAGTGAGCAGTGTGGAAGGGGGTCCTGAGATAACCCTGGTGATTCCTGGCTTAGCCAGAGCTCGCCTTGATCTTCCCTTTCATTCAGGGCTTAACCTACTGCCAGCACGCGCACACACACACACACACACACACACACACACACACACACACACACACACCACCGGCAGAAGGGTCTGTCCAGGGCATAAACCCAGGTACTGGCTCCTCCCCGCTGGGCTCCTGTGGATTCAAAACTAACTTAACTCACTCGCTAAGCCTGTGTGGGGAAAGGCCTGGTGGGAGGTAATAAACTGTGTACTTCCAACTTCGGGAGGCCGCAAGCCCAGAAGCATCCGTTCTTATTAGGAGCCCAGCTGGGATGCAGAAAGCCCCTGGCTAGACTGCGGAAGGCAATTCCCGCTGGAGCGGCTGCCCCCAGCCGGTGCGAGGCGGGAGTTCCCTGGGCCTGCAACGCCACACTCTGTTGCGGGGAGGAACAGCTAGGCAGGCAGGAAGTCAGCAAGGCAGTAGCCTCTAGGGATTGTGTGCTCTGGCAGGGCAGGTCGCAGTGACTTTCCGTAGAGTTTTATCCCCACCCACCCCCCTCGACCCCCAAACCCCGTTGCTCCCCAGCTTCCCAAGTTTCCTAAAGTGTATTTTAAGGACACATGCTAGTTGGAAATAATTTAAACATCAAGAAACACGGAGTAAGTAATGAAAAGTGTGTCTCTGACAATAACAGCTGGCTAGGATGCGCAGGAGCGGTGACGGGAAGGCCTGTAGGAAGATGTTAGCTCCAGGAGCCCCCCACCTCTCCCTTCCCCCCACCCCGCGGGGCGGGCGCTCCTCTCAGGCCAGGGTGAGAAATACAGGTGGCAGAGTGGCCCAGGCTCTGAGTAAGCTCTTCCCTGGACCTCAAGTCTGCCCTGGACACACAAGGCCTCCCTGTCACCCGGGTTCTCGTCGTAGTCCCTCTGGCGGGAGTCCCTAGGGGATCTCCTCCCAAATGAGCAGCGGTAATCCGGCCCCGAGGGTCCCGCAGGCAGTGCAGACCCCGGCCGTGGAGGGCAGCTCATTGGCATTCTGCGCACGCGGGCTGGGACGCCGCGCCGTGTGTGTCAAGCGGGGTCGTGCGACTCGACGACTCCGGCTCACTAGAGCCCCCGGTCGCATTCCGGGGGGCTATGGAGTGCTTCCAACCGCCAGCCCCGCACTTCATGCTGGAGAAACCAATGAGAAGATTAAAAGCCTTCTGTAATTCCAGCAGGAAGATTCTTTCTGGCAATCTCTATTTGCCAAAAGCATGATCCTGGAGATTGGAATGCAAAGAAGACTGGGACCTCCCCACCCCTCCTCCCTGGCCCCCTGCGCTCCGCCCCATCCTCAATTATTGTCCTCCCGGACAGTGAGCCTCCAAGAGCTACTGAGGGCTGGGTAAAGCGGGTAGTCAAGGGGCCTTGAGAACCCGCGCTTCCAGCGCTCTGAGCAGGCCTGGCCATTTAAAATTCAAATACACATCTCGAGTGCTTGGAAGAGAGGCTGGGCTGTGCAAATAGTGCCTTTGGAGGCCCGGGCTTCTGGAGAGTCCCTGTGTGTGAACTCCACGAGAAGGAGGGGGGTTGCACCTGAGCAAATAGGGAGGGGGCGGCCAGCGAGCTGGAGAGTGAGCTGAGAATGGGGAGGAGGGAAAAATGGAAGTGTCCCCTCTTCCAAGGCTGTCTCCTATTTATCCCACAAATCACAATGACAATACCAGGCTCTTTATTGGATTTTAATTAGAAAATCCACACAAGTCTTGGGCTTTCACACCTCGGGCAAACCTCTGGAATGTTTGTCCAGTTGCTACAACGACTACAGCTATTTTTCGCTCCCCACCCCCTGGCTATCCACTGGCCAACACCAAGGCCCTCACTGGGGAAGCCGGAGGCGGGGGCGGCCCGGGTTCCCCGGGTGCAGCCTCCTTGCACCGCGCACTGGGAGGCGCCGCGCCCTGCTGTCCAGGCGCGAGAGAGGAGGGTGTGCCCGGCGCCCGCGCGAGCTCAAGGAGGCTTCCTGAGGAATCCAAGTGGAGAGTAAATATCCTTCTGGGTTCGCGGCGAGGCTGGGTGCAAGAGAGGGGGATGGGACCGGAGGCAGGAGGAAGGTTAGGAGTGTTCCCCGCCTCCTGCTGGAGATGCCAGCTAACTTTTCCCCCCCCGTGCGGGTGCAATCTTGAAGGGTCGTTTAGGAATGCGCCTGCGTCTGAATTTAGCCACTGGGGCGCTGAGATGGTTGGCTCAGGGCGGTCTGCGCTAGATCAGTCTGGCTCGACAACACCCCCTGCCCCGCCCCCCTTCCCACCACCACGCGCGCCCCTGGTCCAGCCGAGTGGGGCACGAACGTGCACCGCCCCCCCCCACACACACACAAACACACACACGCACGTAAACACACCGGGCGTACCTGTCTCCTTTGGCACTCAACACCCTCTCTCTCTTCTCTCTTCCTCGCAGAGAACTCGGTGGCGGCCAAATCCGGGGGCTGCTTCCCGGGATCCGCCACAGTGCACCTGGAGCAGGGTGGCACCAAGCTGGTGAAGGACCTGCGTCCGGGAGACCGCGTGTTAGCCGCTGACGACCAGGGCCGGCTGCTGTACAGCGACTTCCTCACCTTCCTGGACCGCGACGAAGGCGCCAAGAAGGTCTTTTACGTGATCGAGACGCGGGAGCCGCGCGAACGCCTGCTGCTCACCGCCGCGCACCTGCTCTTCGTGGCGCCGCACAACGACTCGGGAGCCGCGGGGCCCGCACCCGGACCGAGCGCGCTCTTCGCCAGCCGCGTGCGCCCCGGGCAGCGTGTGTACGTGGTGGCCGAACGCGGCGGGGACCGCCGGCTGCTGCCAGCCGCGGTGCACAGCGTGACGCTGCGTGAGGAGGCCGCGGGCGCGTACGCGCCGCTCACGGCGCACGGCACCATCCTCATCAACCGGGTGCTGGCCTCGTGCTACGCCGTCATCGAGGAGCACGGCTGGGCGCACCGGGCCTTCGCGCCCTTCCGCTTGGCGCACGCGCTCCTGGCCGCGCTGGCGCCCGCCCGCACGGACGCCGGGGGTGGGGGGGCAGCGTCCCCGCACCCCAACCCGCAGCGGAGGCGAGGGGCTCAGGGCCGGCCTCGGGCATCCACTGGTACTCGCAGCTGCTCTACCAAATTGGCACCTGGCTGTTGGACAGCGAGACCTTGCATCCCTTGGGAATGGCGGTCAAGTCCAGCTGAAGTCGGAGGGGACTGGGCAGGGGGTGTAGGGGCGGGCGGGGCGGGGAGCGACTGCGAAATAAGCAACCGACGCGGGAAAGCGCACGGAAGGAGACTTTTAATTATAAGAATAATTAATAATAATAATAATAATAAGTAGGACAGTCCAAAGTAGACTATAAGGAAGCAAAGACCCCGGGGAGTTCTGTTGTTGTGTTTAGTTTATATATATTTTTAAATTTTTTTCGTTATTGTCTTATTTGGGTTATTTTTTTTCTCCTCTCCTGGCTATTTATTTGTTTGGTATGAATAGATGTTTTAAATAATATGAACGGACCTTCAAGAGCCTTAACTAGTTTGTGTCTTGGATAATTTATTATCGTGTGAACTGTACTCACAGGGGGGAAAGATTATTTTGTGAGGCCAAGCAACCTGCTGAGAGTCTATTTTTCTACACTCCCTCGTCCTGCGCATCAGAAGGCAAAACTCGGCGTTCCTCGTCTGCTATGCTCCTGCTTTTCGGCAAGTGTAAACTAAAACATGCTCCATGGGGGTCCACAAATTATATTTTTATACACAGAATTGTAAATTAGATTTTTGAGAGATCAATACTTAACTGAATGACATTTCATTTTTTGAAATAGTGTAAAATATGAAAATATATTATTTTAATTTAACTATTTTCCAATGTAACAGCTGTCTTCTGTACTGCCTTCATGGTTTGTATTTGCTTTGAACCTGCCACTTTGGTCATGTTCTTGGAAACCAAGACTGTTAATGCACACATACACACTTTTTTTTTTTTGACAAACTGGAAGAACTCTGTTATTTTTAACTTCAAAGAATTTATTAGAAAATAATATTTTTGAAAAGCGCACATAGCGGTGAGCCCACGAGGATGGAGCCTGTAGTTTGTACAGAGAAAAAAAAAGGATGTTTTTGCATTAATAAACTGAGAAATAACTGCTGTAAATTTACTAAAATGTATTTTTGAATATTTTGTAATAGTTTTATAGAAATAAAGTGTGCCACACACCCAGTGGTTAGTAGATATTTCCTGAGAATAACTGTTGCGGCCCTTTTTATTTTCTTTTTTTTGGGGGGGCTTCATTTTCTGGGAAATCTGGAGCCCCAGAATTCTGTTGAATTGTAATGCTTCTACTTGTGAATTCGGACCCTGGCTTAGGAAACCAAAGTCAGCAGAACAAATCCACCGTCTGCTCCCCTCACTGGCAAGACCTCAGTCATGTGCTTGCTATGCAAGGCTCCGTCCACACTCCCCAGAGTTGGTGGTGTTTGGGGGAACAGTCTTCCCCCAGCCCCATCTCTTCACCGGCAAAGCCTTCTTTGTAGGCAGAGAGACAAGGCCCGGGGTGTACAGACCTTTGCATGGTAACCCGGTGCCTTTCTCTGACCTTGTGGTCTCTGATGTAGGGAACAGGCTCCACAGCTTAAGATGCTGTGTCCTTTGAGACAGGGTCCCAAAGGAGCTTAGCTCTCTCAACCTTCCTACCATGGTCCTTGGAATAACTTGTCTATCTGGGCCTGGTGAGTTGTCTGCTAGAGGGCGGATGTGGCCAGGGTCCTCTGGCCACTTTAGTATCTCTTGGCCCATGTCTATCTGGAACAATGGCAACTCCTGTAGTTTATCCCCAGGGCTCGGTCAGTGCCAGTGTTAACTAGGTCTGGTTGAGGATCCCTTCCAGTTGACTGATGCCCGGCAGTGTGTTCAAGAGGACTCTACCCTGGACCCTGGCCAGGGATCAGGCCTAGACTCACTCCTGGTTCTTTAGTGTACCAAAGTAAGTCCTCCTCTGTGACTTGAGGAGGAGTGTCTGAGCAAGCTCTGACCAGAGAGAGCGGGTCTTTGGCAGATGGAGCCAGGGCAGAGGCTTAGTGAAGCTTCCAACAGCCTGGCAGGTCTGACTCCCCAGGAAAGGCCTTTGGGGGTGCCTGCAGCCCTGAGGAGCTTTGTCATGAGAGCCTAGCCTCTGAGGCTGTGCCCACTATGGCAGCCTCAGACTAGGGATTTGTCCTCTACCTGCTTCCCCAAGGCCAACCCTCTAGGTAGCAGCAGGCCTTGGTTTCTCTCCACGAAGGAGTTTTCTTTGGTCTCCTAGGTGGTAAACAGTGTCAAAGCTGGTGTTGCCCGTGCCTCTTGGGATTGGCCGCGGCTCCTCTGTTGTCCTTTCTGATCAATCCATCAAAGGCAAACCAGAATGCCTGTGCACACCAACAACCCTGACTGTGCCTAGCACCCTGACCAACTGCCCGTGCAGCAGTCCATCAGAGGCAGGAGCTGGACGCCCACCCAGCCCAACAGTTTGCCATGGCCTAAGAGGAGTTCCAGAAACAAAGGCACCACGGAACACTAAACTTCAGCCAGTGCCCGCTCCTGGAGGGCCAGGTGGTACAGTCCTGCTGCCCACCTCCCAGGCTCCCTCAGTCCTTGGAAAGATCTTTCGATAGGCGTGAAAGAAAGGCATTACCCGGAGGTGATAAATAGAGGTCATGAAGGAAGTATAGGCCATCCTGCCCTAGCAGGGCACCATGTCTCTCTTCAGGATTGATGGTGTCAAGAATTTGTGCAAAATGTATTGTGGCACTTATTGCCACCCCTTCATATGCAAGTGCTTGTCCGTTCTTACAAAAAACTGCATCAGGATGTTCTCAAAACTGCTATCTTCGCGCTATCTGGTTTGAATGATTGGAGCAATCACAGACTTCCTGCAATGTCGTTCAAGTGGCAGAATTCCTATCCCGTACTGTCACACGCATTCTTCATGTCTCTCCACGAGAGCAAGCGGCAAGTGTGAAAGAAAAATCCCATTGAGAGGGTGGGTGTCACTCTCTCAATGGGTGGATTGAGTCAAGCTGTGGGAATTTCTCCTGTGCAGGAAGGCACATGACTCAGCTGCTGATAGGATGGCAGAGTGGTCCTCTCCTGGTGGAAGCCTCTGTTGTTAGCGTCACACTCAAATGGGAAATGCCGGGCACACGTGCAAAGAATGCCGGGTGGCTGCAAGGTTTGGCCAGAAAGCACCAAAGTGCCTGCCAGGGACTCAAGCTGGCACAAGGAAGCTGGCTTGTACTCAGCCTTTGGTGCTCCCTGTTACCCAGGAAAGCTAGGCCAGCCTTCTCTGTGGGTGCCCAGGGATGTGGCCTGCACATGACTCCATAGGAACAAATCACAAGCTGACGTCTCAGGTCTCAGCTTTGTTCAAGCACTCTGCTGGGAACACATTCAAAGACAGGTAGCAAGCTATGGCCCTGGGACAAATCTAGTCCAAGGCCTACTTCTGCATAGTTCATGAGCTGAAATGGTTTTTCAGCACCTTTGAATATCTGAAACCAAGGCTCTAAAGGATGGTATTTCATGGCGCCTGAAAACTACACGAAACTCACAGCTCAGTGGCCATCGGTAAAGTGTCACTCGGGCACACCGGGCATGCTCACAGTATGTTGCCCACGGCCTCCTTCCGGCTGGTGTGACAGAGTTTCTGTGTACAGCAGAGATCATGGGGCCTGTGGAGCCCTGGACAAGGCTGCTTCTGGTCCTCTTTGTGGGATCCAAACCAGGGGCTGAGGAGATGGTTTGGTCAGCAAAGTGCTTGTGACACAAACTTGAGGATCCAAGCGTGATCCCAGCTTTCCTGTGATCCCAGTAAAAGGCTGGTGCAGCGGTGCTCTCCTGCGATCCCAGCGCCAAGCGGTGAAGAGAGGGGAATCCAGGGGCTGGCTCGCCCGCTGGCATGGCCAGTCAGTGAGCTTCAGGCTTAATTACAAACCAAAACTGGGGCTGGAGAGATGGCTCAGTGGTTAAGAGCACTGGCTGCCCTCCCAGAGGACCTGAGTTCAATTCCCAGCACCTACACGGTAGCTCATAACTGTCTATAATTCCAGTTCCAAGGGATCTGACACCTTCACATCAATGCACATGAAATAAGATTAAATAAATTACTTTTAAAAAAAATTTTGGCTTAGGGGTAAGAGGTCAGGTAGCTGCCGAGGCTTGCTACCATCAGAAATAGGGGTGTCATTCACTAGAATTCACAGGGCTGTACACAATGCCTTCCTCCCTGAGAGCAAGAGAGGCCCTCAGAGGGTTTGGGTCCAGGGCAGCCACCCCACCTGGTGGTGAAACAGCAAAGCTGAATGCCAATCAAAGATGAGCTTGGTCAGAGAGAATAGCCCAGGTCCAGAGCCATCACCTCCCAAAAGAAACGTCCCAAATCACCCCAAAATGGGAGCCTGATTAGGGAGAAAATGGCTGTTTCGCCTGGAGCTTGATTCTCAAGTTAAGAAAATGCATCACCAACACACATTTTACCACATTAAAAGTGCTGGGCCCATTGGAAGGAGGCATGTCTTTGGCATGGAGTTCACTGCCATTATCCACTCTGGTGTTCAGCAGAGCAGCCACGTCTCCCAATGGGAAGCTGGTTTAACTTTAGCAGGCCGAGGAGTTCATAGCAGAAGAAATGCTAATTCAACACAAATCAAAGGAAAAACTGCCCCTACCCCAAACCAATTTCTCAACGGAGTCTTGTGTGCAAGGTGAGGACCCGGGTGTAGCTTCTCCGGAGACATGACACTTTTTTCCCTTGACTCAGCCTCATTCCAGCTGGAACACTGCCTCCAGGGGGCCTAAGCACAGTCGGAGGGCTGGCTTTTAGATCCCCACAGCCTGAAGGCTAACCCACATCCTTGAGAGGAGCCTCAAGGCCCCGGCCCATGTTGATGTCTGTCTACCAAGTCCATGGGGTTCCAGCTGACAACTGTCTGGACGCCACCCATCTCTGGCTAAGAGGTCAGATCGAGCAGCTAGGCAAGGGAATGGGACCCAGAGAATGACAGCAATCACCTGAGCAGTCACGTCACTAGAAGACATAGACTCAGAGGTTCCTAGAAGGTGTCAATGGAGAATAAGAATAAACAGAGGAAGATACCTGGCATCGGCAGTGACCTCCCCATGCACATGCACACACACACACACATCACTGTCCACTACTCTTGACAAAACAAAACCAAACCAAACAAAACAAAACAAA